ATTGTCACTCCGCGATCTACACCACCACCAGCGTCTTCAACCCCGGCCGAGCCCCAGGTTCAATGTTCCCCACCGATGGAAGACTCAGACTCGGAAGCTACGGAATGCCGCTTCACTGATCGGTCTGTGAATTTCTCAGAGCCTGTCTGTGAACTTCCGAACACCGAGGATCCATGGACCGCTCAAAAGCGCAAGGGCCCACGTAATCGAGTTCAGACCTTACCTGCTGATAAACAACAACCCAATCCGTTAAGCGCCTCTAGTTCTGCTCCCACAGGTTCATCACTGATTTCGTTGAGGCGTCATAATCTCTTAGTCTTCCACGTACCGGAGTCAAAAGATGAAAACCCTCAGATACGTTATGATCACGATGTGGAGTTCCTCCATGGGCTCCTCGATAGACTCCTGGATGTGAGCGAGGACTGTGTGACGATTAAACAAGTAATCCGACTTGGCCAGAAAACTAACCAGTCGTGTCGACCTCTGAGAATCACCTTTGCAAATCCCAATGTGCCGCAGCTCATACTGTTTCGTCTGTCAAGGTTGAAAGGCATAAAAGTTCACATCCGCCGTGACTTGGAACCTAAAGACTGGGATCGTTTGAAGACTGCGGTCATTGAGCTCAAACGCCGTACAGAGGAAGGTGAGACTGACTTACAAATTGTAAATTTTCGGGTGATCAAGAAGGGTGTACGAACCCGTATCAGCCTGTTGCTCAACCTCCAGGCACGTCCCGCAGTACCTCCCAGGACCGTGTGGCATTCGCCAACGTGTGCAGCCTAATGAACAAACGTGACGAACTGTGCCGCTTCACTGTCTCGGAGCGGCCGGACGTTTTAGGACCTGCTGAGACTTCGCTGAACTCCGACGTCATATCCCAAGAAATCGTGTTGTCAGGATAATCTTGTTTCCGATGCGACCGAAAGTCAAAGGCTCACTGTGGTGTTCTGTTGTACATGAAATCGTCACTATCTGGCAAACTTACCAGCACCTATCGGAGCGAGGATAGTTTTTGCGAGCAATTGTGGTGAACAATCCGCCTCAGGCGCGCAGAACTAATAGTGGGGTTATCTACCTGAGCCCGTTAAACCATTGTTGCGATTGGCTACCACATGTGCAGAAGCACATGAGCAGCCCTCAGTTTTTACTGATGGGGATCTAAATTTACCTGATATTTTGGCCAGACGTTCGACTTCTTCCCGGTCATGGCAACGTTGAGGCTCAATTCGCTAAAATGACAATTGAAATCGGGGCAACGCAACATGTCATCCAACCAAGGCGCGTAACTCCGTATTCGGCATCTTGTCTGGACCGAATGTTTACGAGCTGCGAGCAGAAGCTGAACGAGATCAGAGTCATCGAACCTCTGGCGAACAGTGACCATTGCTCCATTGTGGCAGGCTTAGAACTGTCGTTACCATATTACAATCAACGGAAGCCGACATTCAAGTATTGGAAGACGGACTTCAACGGGCTCGTTCAAGCTGCTAGTCAGACTGATTGGACAGTACCACAGGATGCGTCACTTGAGGCCTGTTGGTCATTAACGAAAGGGAAGCTTAACTCGCTCTGTACTCGGTCCGTTCCCCTGAAGTATTCAAAAATCGGACCTGTCAAACGGCATTGGTTTGATACAGAATATAGACAGTTAGCGCGACGGTGTCGCAGACTTTGGTATAGATACATCAGCTCGGGTTGTGATGAAGATTACACGGTGTACAAGAAACAGGGTAACTTATGTAACGCCGCAGAAATCAAGAGACGCGGGCAGTTCGAAGAAGAGCTAGCATCCTCGGTCACAACTGCACCCAAAAGAATATTTGCCTACTTAAAACGTCAACTGAAACCTGGGGGCGACCTACCGGCCTTAGAGAGCTTAGACGGAAAGGCGCTCATTTCAAGCGCGGAGCGCGCGGACGCTTTGGCTACGCACTTCCTCACTGTGTTTTCCAGTAAACCGGCGGCGGTTTCAGTACCGGCACAGGTTGCGCCAGTCTTGCACAACAGCCTACAATGTGATGCAGTCCAAGTGTATCAGCTACTCGTCAACCTCGATGGTGCAAAGCCCTCCGACTTTAGTAAGGCGTTTGACAGGGTGAACTACGAGGTATTCTTTGGTAAACTGAAGATATACGGAATCGGTGGCACGTTACTTCAGTGGTTACAAGAGTTTATTGTGGGACGAAAGTTTAGAGTACAGGTCAATGACTACCTGACAGACTGGTTCCCATCGACTAGTGGCGTGCCTCAAGGAACTATACTTGGGCCAGTATTATTTCTTATTCATATCAACCATCTTCCGCAGCAGCTCCAGTCACCATGTGCCCTGTTTGCAGATGAGTTGAAAATCTGGAGGATCATTGAGAACCAGGACGACTGCGCTTGCCTCCAACATGACTTAGAGCGACTGTCAACGGGGTCCACTACAATACTACTCCCTCTTAACGCAAGCAAGTCGGAGTTCATCATATCACCAGACGTCCAGCCACTCGATCATACACCTTGGACGGCCAGTTGCTCCATCCCAACACATCTGTCAGAGACTTAGGAGTTCTCTTACAACATGATTTAAGATCACTAGAAAATACAGAGAAATTGTACCGTGCGGGACTTCGTATGCTCTGGGCATTACGACGTAGTTTCTCCACATGGTCTGCAGAAACCGTCCCTCATCTATTCACCTCGCTCATTAGACCAATCCTTGAATACGGTGCTCCAGCTTACCATCCGATAACCCAATGGGAAACTGAAAAGCTGGAGAAAATACAGCATATGATACCGAATCTACAAAAGCTTCCGTATGAAAAACGTTGTGAAAAGCTCGGACTCTACACACTATCTTATCGTCTAGTAAGAATTGACCTTATTATGACCCGTCGAGTACTACACTTTAGTCACTTCCCTATACTGCGGCCAATATTTCACCTGCGGGAACCCTGTAACACCCGAGGACACCGTTACAAACTCAGGGTCGCCAGCATGAACAAAGTATCACATCAGCTTTGTATCGAACGAAGAATCGTAAACTTATGGAATACACTACCCGAAGGATTAGTAGAGGCCGATTCTGTGAAGTGTTTTAAAACCCGTATCGACGATTATTTCGGAAAACTATGCTTTTGTGAAATGATGCACATACCATGCCAAAAGAAGACATTGTATGCCCGGAAATAATGACACTAGTACAAATTCCTAACCGAACAAGGATAAACGATTAACGGATCAGACTCAACTGCTGATGATTTAACTCACATGTGAACGCGAAGCGTCACTCCTCTCCTGTCGACAAGCCCATGTCCAACCAAGCTGGTCTTAAGCCGACCAGCTTGACGAGCATCGATGCGTGGATCAGATTGGAAAGTGCAAACCGACGCCCATGGCTTATCCGTCAATGTCATGACACACAAAGGAACACCTGGACTATTCCCACTGTGATCGAACCACCTGAGGTGACATCCCGAACTGTTCCTGTAATGACTTATGGCTCAAGACTCGGGTAAAGCGGTTATCGCCCCTGTTCACTATAAAATCCCACACCAATTGCACACTGATTCACCTGGTCTGATGAAGCCTCTATGTTAGAGGCGAAACGTTACCAAATTACTATACCAAACCGATTGTTTTCAAACCTCTCTGAACTCATGACTACTCGATCGGTTCCAAGTATCTTCCAAGAATATGTATGTATTTCCTTCATGTATTGCGGCACAATAGCGGTGTTTTTCCCATCTCTAGCTGATGTGTATAATGATGATGATGATGCTGATGATTCACAACTAAATGTTTTTGATTTTTCGTAATTCGATAGTATTGTACAGAAAACTTTCTACTTGCTCTTAAATACAGTCTCAGGTCACTCGGGACTAGCATCGCAACGACGACGAGACCTGCTGAGAATGTAGGCAGAACCGGCGCAGCGTTTGTAGGTACGCTGCATTCCATTTACTAACCGCGTGCTTGCGTATTGAGTTTATTTCAGGTGGTTGATTTACTATCTTGTATTAGTGTTATTTTGTTATCTCAATTCATTGTGTACCAGGATAATCTATTAAATTGCGCACTACGCTTAATCTAAGATTGATTAAATTCACTTATTTTTCTCCTTACATATGTGTGTTTGTTCTTTTTTCTGTTATCCTATATCCATTACACCTATTTTGATAATCCATTTATTCCATATGCTAATTTAGCGGCATATCCATATTCGATCTATATTATTTGACATTTCGTTTCATATGATTGGCTGTGGCTCGGCTTCCCTGGTGACGTTGCTCTTGATGTGCATGTTGACAGGGTGCCCACTTGTCTTTTTCCCACTACCTCGTCTTTACTGGCTCCAGGAGACAGTTGGTGCTTGCTGGAGGGGAGGGAGTGCACGGTTCTCGCGGTTCTGCTAAGCTCGAAGAGTGGTTCCATGCACTCAGTGTGAAGCGGACTACAGTCCAGCCACCGCCTTGTGTGCACTAGGTTTCCCAACTACACCCTGCTTGTGGAGGAGTGTGGGCCGGCTCCGTTGATGAAATCTTGCTCCCATGTGCATTCCTCCCGATCTTATTCCTTCGCGTTTGCACTGGATATGGGTTGTGTGGGTGGTGCGGCGCAAAGAAGCAATTGTCCCTCTTTAGGCACAGGCGTCCTGTGGCTGTCCTTTGGAGGCCTTACTTCAACACCGGAAACTGTCTCATATATCGTGAAACGTTAATATGGTTAGGCGTCCTTTCAATATGCGAAGTAAAGAACTTTCATTATCCTCTTTCTCGCTTCGTGATTGTTGCGCACGACCTCCACTACATCAGGACTTCCATTCTCCAGCCAGCGTGAATGTCCTGTTTTCACCTTTTATACACTCGCCTGGTTTCACCTATCGCATCCTATCAGTCCTTTTCCATTTCGGCTGCTGTTGTTCCGTTATTAGACCGATACGGCGTATTTCTCTGTCTTCGAGTTATCTCGTTTGAGTTACTTTGCTCGTTCGACGCGTCAACTTGTTCTACTTTTTAGCCAATTTTTACTCCATGCTTCATAAAACACACGTTCGTCGAGTTAATAATCTTGTTTTCGCCCCTTTACGGCGGCTTTACAATCAGTCATGGGATAGTTACACCGTTCATTCTCCCTGTAAACGTGTTGCTCACGTGCAGCTGAATCGACCTAACAAAAGTAATGCAATGGATCAAAAATTCTGGAAGTGTGCCTCTCCTTCATTACTTAAAATTCTAGAGAAACGGCTGAACTTTTCGAGTTTCTGCAAAAGGAGAAATCTATCCGGTCGGTGGTTTTATCTGGTGCAGGGAAGCATTTTTCAGCCGGTGCGTTTGTGCTCCTTTTCATAAGTTTTCTTATGTTACAGGTCTTGACTTCCAAGATTTCACCTCAGTTTTTTCAGACATACATTCCAATGACCCTGCTAGGTTTGCTTTTTCTTTACGCAAGTTAATTAAAACGCTACAGGAGTCTTTTAACTGGCTAGAAAAGGTTGGTTATTACGCTTACACAACATACTTTTTACGCAGTGCAATAAACCCGTGATCGCAGCGATTCATGGGGCTTGCATTGGGGGTGCTGTTGATATGATATGCGCTGCAGATATCCGCTACTGTTCCGAAGACGCATGGTTTCAAATCAAAGTAGGTATTACGGCGTTTGATCTATATGCTCCATTCTTTATGAATCGGTGTGTTGGTAAAGGAAACCTTGCGCCATAATATAGCGTTATTCACCTGTTGTTATTTTTTTACATTCAATGCGCGGTCGCTGAACCTCTTGAATAAGGTGAATGTTACTCCGGAGCCCCGAGATTGAAAGAATCGCATGTGAGCTGGCACCACATACCTGTACATGTCCTTTTTAACCCATTTGTGACAGTCGATTAGATAACCTTTACTCTGCGCTGCGCACCTGACTAACCTGTTTAAGCGTAGTTGCCAGCTGTTTGAGTCTCCATCGATTTTTGCATTCTCTGTTTTTATAACCTCAGTTATTTCGGCTACTGTTGTTTATGGATACCTTATCTGTCTCTAAATCTTTCATTGCCTCTGCTGTCAAACGCATTGTTCCCAGTTGCCTGGTGCGCCCTTATTCTTGTATCACTTGTCATCTTCCTGACAGCCTGGCTCAGTTGTAGAGCAACCGTCTCACCTATAGGGCATAACAAGCCGGCCTGTAGCCTGAAGGACCACAACCCTACCTTGTAATCCGAGGACGCGAGTTCGAACCTGCCTAGAGAACGGGCGTTTCTTGCAGTATCCTTAGCTCACGCGCGACTATTTTTGGTTGTGCGGCAACGAAGCGTCGCTGCTGCGTACCGGCGTGCTGCTAATGCCTTTTAGGGTTTAACCGTCCACTTCCTCTCTTGCACGCATCCCGCTCCGAAACAGTCAGCGGGCCTGATTATTTTTCAACATCTCTTGAGATGAGAACTTGTCATCCGTCGCTGTTGATTATTAAGCAGTTATCTGTTCACTGACTTTTCCTAGGGAATAAACGCAGGATCTAATATGCTGTTTTTTATTTGCTGCGGGAGTCGGGGGTTATGGCCGCAATGCTATTCCCACAAACACGTTTTTTGCATTGCACCGAATGATCCGTTTCTTTAGATTGGGTTCTTCGAGCTTACATTGGTTGCTGGATCAAACGGAATATTCCGAATGCCTATCGTACATTCATTTGGCCGACTGTTAAGCATCGAAGCGCGATGCATCCAGTTGTCTTGACTCACATCACTGTTGTAATAAAATAACGACATCAGCTAATGGAAACCATGTGGATTCTCAAGCAAGCTGCCTAGTATTTCTACTGAAGCGAAATACGGCATTTGTCGGTCGAGAGACCAAGAGCACGATCCAAGATGCCATACACCAGATCATGTTGGATAGACTCTGACCGCTCAGGCGATCCGCGCGGAGGTCTCATACAAGAAAGCACAAACACAAGCGTGATCAAGCTGTTATGGCTAACAAGGTCGCCCCGGCCGCTCCGATTGGCTGTTCGCTGAAAACCTGCCCGCCCCCAAATTGGTCGGTCAAAAAGGTAAGGTCGTAGACACAGTGTAATGATCACAGAGCGCAGAGTACCGATATTTGTTTGTTCATAGCGACCTTCCTGAACGCTCTTTATTCTCTTCCTTACTTACCAATAATAGTATTAGATTTTGCGAGAGCATTCTATTGTTTAACATATATATATATATATATATATATATATATATATATATATATATATCCGGTTTCGGATTTGCGTGTCACTGTGGCCAGCCACAGGACGCCTGCGCCTACAGGGGGACCATGGGTGGCTTGCGCTGCACCACCCACAGCTCCATTCACATACCCCATATCCAGTGTAAACCCGAAGGAATAAGACCGGGAGGCATGTGGATGGGAGCCACATTTCATCAACAGAGCCGGCCCACACTTCTTCACAGGCAAACACAAGCGCACTGTGTTTGGGGAATCAAGCGCACTCAAGGCGGTGGCTGCATCGTAGTCCGCTCCACACTGAGTGCATGGAACCACTCTTTGATCCTAACACGGCCACAAGGACCGTGCACCCCGTCCCATCCAGAAACAACCAACTGTCTCCTGGAGCCAGTATGGACAAGGTAGTGGGTAATAGACAGGAAGGCACCATGTCAACATGCACATCAAGCGCAGCCATACCGGGGATATCCAGCAACAGCCAATCACTTGAGAGCAAGATAAAAAATAAAATAAATCGAGTAATGCGTAAGGAAACGGTGACATAAATCTTAAATTAATGAGCATATGAAATAAGTTGTCTACAAACGGATCCAAGATAAGTTCACTATGTCGGAAAGTATATTTTACGAAAATGCCACAAACACAAAATTAACTACAATTGGCTTAAGCGACGTGTGCAAGTTTATAGAAGAGAGTATTGGTAGGCATTGATATGAGAAAGAAAAGCATCAGGACAAAATTGAAAGCCCACCACCTGGAATAAATAGACTTGACATGCAAGCACGCTGTTAGCAAATAGAATGCAGCGTACCTACAAACGCTGCACCGGTTCTGCCTACGTTCTCTGCAAGACCCGTCGTCGCTTCAGTATTGGTCCCGAATGGCCACGCTCATGGCTCACTAGGCCTGCCTGACTCAGGCACTCGCGACCGCATGTGCCACAGCACCATGCGCTCGATGTCGATGGAGTACAACCCATCGGTGCATGCCGCTTCCGCACTTGCCGCATGTATGAGGTCTTTCTCCCGCACTTCGGCAACTGCCTTCTTGATCAGATCTCGCCATGCACGCCGATCAACCGTCTTCGATTTCCATGACCTGCAATCAAGATTAGAACGTGAGAGGCTCATTTTGATCATGTCCTGGTATCGAAGCTTCGATTTCCCCACATGCCGCTTCCCAATACTCAGCTGACTGTATAAGAGTTGTTTCGGTATCCGCGTCGAATCTATACGGCTCACAAGACCGAGCTATCTCAGGTGTCTCAGCAAAGTATGCAGTCCACTGCATACATCTCACTTTGTCGCAACACTTCCGTGTCTGCAACTCTATCGCCCCAACTGATGCGCAAAATCCGTCTTAAACACTGTTGTTGGAACCGTTCGAGATATCGCACATCCCGCCGGTACATCGTCCACGTTTCACTGCCGTATAGAAGAACGGACAGCACCATCAGCTTCGTGCCATTGGTAAGCTAGTGGTTGATCCACACTCGGTACTCTAGCTTCCCGAATGCCGCCGTTGCCTTCGACACGCGGATACGCAGCTCACTGTGAAGCTGCTGATCAGTCGATATCACACTCCCAAGGTAGCAGAAGCGGGAGGTGGTTTCCAATACTTCAGCACCAACGCTGATTCGCGGCAGTATTGATGATTGCACCTCCTTTGAAGGCTGAAAGAGACAAACAGTTTTGCTTGTGTTGATGGTGAGCCCGAATTTGGCCGCTGTCGAAGCCAGTGCACTAGTCATATGCTGCAACTCATCCGCGCTGTGTGCAAACAACGCACAGTCGTCAGCAAACAGCAACATACGGATAGTTCTCTCACAGACTAGAGTTCTCGCACCGAAACAACGGATGTGTCAAGGCGCCTATACCTTGTGTTAACAACGTGTCGTATTAAACAGCTGGCTATCTTGCAAAGATAAGGTGGCATCGACGAGACAGCTTCCTTGCGGCTTTCATTGCCCCGCGTCATAATCAGTCATTACCCTGCAGATAACTCAGCATCAAACACACTTTAAACAGACAATCCGATTAGGAGACGGCAGCAGACGCGCCACTGGTGTCGGTTGCGAGCCATCTTCTGTAAATTATCGAGCCAAGCACAAGGCGAGTCACGTAGACTCCAGAAAGGAAGACGAGGCGGACCAACGGCACCCAGCTTGATCGTCAGTAACTTCAGTTCCCGCTGCCAAGTCAACTTCTGTTCACATCGAGCCTTGCGCCACTCTACACCTGTCAGACTAAACAAGGCCCTCTTTGGTAAGCCGTTACTAGGTATACGCAGCATGTGCCCGAGCCAACGCAACTTTTTCAGTGCTATCTGTTGTTCCAGGGAAATCGCATGGTTATCACTACCTAGTACTCGTCTACGCACATCATCGTTGCGGACAAGCTGGGGACATTCGACACCAGCAATGCTTCGCAGACAACGATGATCAGACTTGAAGGCGCTTTAGATCTTCAGAACGAAGGGGCCAAGTCTCACTACCATAGAGCAGAACAGCCCTCACTATGGCCTTGTATACACGGCCTTTCAGACGGAGGGCAACTCTCTTCTGTCACCAAAGATGCCTCAGGTTCAAGAAGGTAGCTCTGGCCTTTGCAATGCGTGAGCTGACGTCAGTTCCTATGCGCCCATCATTGCTGATGCAGCTACCAAGATAAGTGAATTGATCAACCACCACAAGTTCCTCGTTAGCTGACCAGCTACAGGAGGACGCCAAGTGACACTTCGGCGCCCACTGTGCGTAAATGCAGTGCTACTAAGAAAGAAATAGTGCTCCGCACACAGTTGCAACAGAAGCTCGCCGTTGTCAGTCAGTTCGGAGTTAAGCCCATAATTACCAACCAGCTGAGCTTGATGAGCTCAGACGCTCTACTTGTGCGTTCCTATCCCCTTCAAGTACTTTAATATCTGAACTAGTAGTGTTGCGTAGTAGCGCGTTCAGTTCGTGATAGAATGTGTCCTTGCCAGCAGTAGAGCTCCATTCGGTGTGAGCATAAGCGGAAGTTACAAACAAACAGCGTTTTGTACTACTTCGTGAATCAACCTTGGTCGATGTCATCAAACGGTCTGCACACAAACGGCTGTTCACCGGAATCCAAACAATCAACCATGGCTCAGTCTTGGAGCTGAGAGTGATAGCTACCCCAGGTTGACCGGTGAGTGCTGCATCAGCGTCTCCGGACGCGTGCAACCAATAGCGACAGAACAAGCAGGGCGCAGTTAATTCAACAACCCATTATGATCATTGCTCCTAGTTTCGGACACAGGTCAATACCTAGTGGGTCTAACATGCGTGCGAGTGCAACCTGTTGACCTGTTTGTCTTAGAGTGCAAACGTTGAATGTCGCCATGGAAACGGGACAGCGTGGCCTTATGAAGGACTGTTGCCGATAGGCGTCCGATGGGTGTTGAGGGAAGGT